CTTTTTAGAACATTGTAAACTGCTGTCGATCTTGCTGTGACCCCCTAGGAAAAGGTTATGCCCCGCCCTGTACATTTGTCCTGTTTCTACAAATAATTTGTGAGAAGCAGTATTGTGCTTTATACCTGATCAGAATGTAATGGTATTTATTTCTGTAAAGAACAATTGTCAGTGGTGATGCAAGAGATATTTTCCTTGTTACAATGTTCTAAAAAGTTAATTTCTTCAGAATACTTCATGTGAATACTTCATCATTTTCATATTGAGGGAGAACAGTTTCAGTAATTTTTCTAACAAATTATTCCTGCTTAAATGGAAATCAAAGAAAAATGTATATTATGGCAATAAAATTGGAAATACAATAAATTATACATAATGGTTTGTAGAAATTAAAGAAAAGAAATCCAGTGCCTAACTATATATTTGAAAATGTCTTTAGAGATAACTTTATGGAAAGCAGCACAGAAATATATTAAATATATTTTTTCTTCAGAAGAACACACATACAAATAGAGATGATTCATTATGGCATGGTTTTTTTGTGTCTGTCTTGATATCTTAAAGACAGTTATCTGTTTTGCTGCTTCACCGTTCATATTTATCTCTTAAGATTTTATGATAGCATTGCTTTTGTGGCAATATATTAAATTCCATGAACTTATTCTACTTTCCTAAAGAGATGGAAAAACAATTCATATCAGATCCTAGGGCTCATATTTTCCTTTTGAATCCATTCTTCACATAGCCGTGAACTGAATTGGTACTTTTATATAAGCACAAAATGAATCAATGGAAGTGTTTCAAACATTCCACTGTTACGCCTTATAAGGATGAAATATTGTGAGTATTTCTCATACCACCAAAAATAAATTCACCTGAAAGTGACTTCCTTAACTGTGACAAAGCTATAGCAGGTGATTAGCTATTTGCTTGAGTCATAATTTCTTTGTGCTTTCTTACCACACTATTGAGGGAATTCCCGTCTGAGAAATCTTTATATGATCTGAGAAGGAAGACATGTATATAAAAAAACCTGACCTTTTTAAAAGCATGACTTGTGTGTACTGTATTATTTTGCAATTTACTCCCTATGACTGGAATGTGAGACTTTTGGGTAGTATTCCTGATTTATATAGTAATTCTGTACACTTTTGATTGTCAATTATGGTCAGCTGCTACATTCTAATTAATTGCTGTCAGATCTAAACAAGTATGTAGCTTTATGCCCAGGTACGCATCTACACCTGGTGTTCAAACCATGTATGTCTAGTTCTCCATCTATTCTTGGATCTACCTGTGATTAAGTCATATCTCATCTATACAGTACTAATATCTTGAATCATGTTTATAATTTGGTGGAAGCATCTGCTATTCCTTCCATTTTCATTTATCATATATACCACCCACCCAACAATGTTCACAGTCATTGTTCGCAAAGCTGTTTTGAGAATTTATATATTTATTTCAAATTTATGTAGTCTCCCATCTCTCAAAACAAGTGATTCTGGATGACATGCAAACAGTAATATCAAACTATTATTATTTTAAAACATTAAAAATGATAAAATGGAATTCCTGCGTTACTGCTAAGCAGTTTGAAAGACTGACAAAAGAGTGAAGGAAACCACTTTGTTTTCCAGTGCAGTGTCTATGAAACATAATACTTGAAGCCATGGGTGTGCAACCTTGGTAACTTTAAGACCTGAGGACTTCAACTCCCACAATTCTCCAGATACCTATGCTGATTGGGGAATTCTGGGAGTTGAAATCCACATGTTTTAAAGTTGTCATGATTGGATACTCCTGCTTTAAGCTGTTTTACTCAGTCCTTGCAATTGCAAGAAATGGCTCTATATCACTTAAGCTTCCACTGTCACTACAAGTAAAGATCATGAAACCAACACTGATCTCAAGAACAATAGGAGAAGGAGCAGGAACACATTTCCCACAATCATCTTTTTCATTCATCAATCTTCTCAAATGTACTGAATCTCCAAAGTTCTGTGTTTGTCACAAACTTCAATCCTGCCAGGGTCATTACAGAAAATAAATAAATTATATTAGATTTCATTTCAACAGTTAAAATCATTTGCCATTTTTCTTATGTCTAAAAATAGTTTGTGTCTTGTTTTCTGAGAAGCAGTTATACATAGGAGTGAAACCAAATGGGAAATCCTCCTATACGTATACTTATAGCCCATCATAATAATATCCAATCTTTAAATTAAATAGAAGAGCAAACTATTAGAAAGAGAAACAGACTAATGTATTTTCAAAATACCTGAAACAAAAGTACCTCTTATCTATTTGAATATGGATCACTTTTGTGCAAACATTTGGGATATTTATTATGCAAGCATATGGTAAATGGAACTCTTTTCTAATAATCATATTTTTATTATATCCCTTTGTGGTTTAGATGAGATTATTTTAGATTTCTCTAGTCAGGTTATTGCTTCAATATCAATTTAATTACACAGGCTAAACAACTGAGTTAAGCAACCCAATTTAAGGAAAGAATTCTTCTTAAAATAGTGCAAAAGTCATATGGTCTAAAACAGTGTTTTTCAACCACTGTGCCGTGGCACTCTAGTGTGCCGTGACATAGTGTAAGGTGTGCCGTGGGAAAAACACTTATATATAGTCAATATAGGCACAGAGTTAAATTTTTTAAACATTTTCTAATGGTGGTGTGCCTCGTGATTTTTTTCATGAAAAAAGTGTGCTTTTGCACAAAAAAGGTTGAAAAACACTGGTCTAAAAGACATTGTCATGTCTTAGGTTTGGGGATACGCATTAGCTAGAATTATGCAACACACTGAACTACAAAATAACAAATGACTTCTCCCCTAGCATGTTCTGTAGCTCTGGTTCGGTTTCATGTTGATCCCAGAAGACTTTAAATTGCATCATCACGATTAAGTCATCATAGTGATTATAAAAAGAAGAAAAGCTACTCAGAATATGGGTGTAGTGAGAAACCTTCTCCATTTTCAGCCTAGATTTTTCTAAAACCAACATTTTAACAAAGTTAGATTTTTTTTTAGTTCTTCAGAAAGATGAATCTATAGGGATCATGTTTAATCACTAATCTACAAAGAAAAGAATGAACAAGATCTACATTTTAAAACTCTTTTCCTCACTGCATAGTTGCTGGATGTGGTCGACTACCTAGCACAGAAGTATCATCGATTGCTTGTCCTCGGGCGTAGACACATGCTGAAACATTCATTTCAGTGGAAAAAAAGAGACATGGATGAGATGCAGAAGAAAGCAGATTTCTTCTTTACTGATAATGCGTATGTTATTTGATTTTTTAGAAAGTATCATGTTTAGAAATATTTGCAATAGTCCCAGGTTGCATATAAGCATCGAGACTGAATTTAACAACAAAAATAAACTGTATATACTGTATTTCATATATAATAATGCTATAAATTCTTGATATACTATGTTTTATTTTGCAATTTTGTAATATTTTCCCATAGAATAGATAAATGCAGCCTTTTCACTTGTTATTTCATCCAGAACAATGCAATGCTGTTGTTTACAACAGTTAACAGCTTTGCATACCTAATTACCTTTGAATGTGATAATGAACCACCCCACAATTCATGTGTTTTTATTAACAAATTAGAAGAAAAAATGATAATATAACTATATATCCAACCCTCTTCCCCACCATTAACAATACCATTTTTAAACTTAAAGAAATTAATAGAAACAAAAAATAAAATAAAATAGAAACATATAGAATATGTTAATATCTTTAACATTTAAATATTTTCCCACAAATCTACTGATAACAGTAAACACTCTGTTCCAAAAATATGTCCACTAATCACATAACCAATTGTGTGGATCTATGAGATTCCTCTAATTTTTACACCTCCAACAGAAAAATGAATATGACACAGTATCTTTTAACTAGTCTTATTTTAATTTCTATTTAAATGCAATTTAATGAAACCTTATCAGATAGAGGTTTTCAGTTTAAAACAAAAAAATTCAATGCTTAACAAATACCTGTTTATTTTTTTGAACTGATAGGAAATGTAATCATCTATTTTTAGGTAAAATCTGTAAACTGCTATTTATTAGTAAAATATAGCTACACATATTCTATCATCAACTTTTAGAACAACTTTTAGGGAAACCAGGAAACAAAATACTTCACTTGGAGAACTATTTAAATAGATACCCATGATATGGACATAATGCTAAGATCAAACAAGTTAAATGCCTCATAGTTAGGATCTTCAAATAATTATTTGAATCAGTTCTATAGTAATTTACTGTGAAAACTACAATGGTGTACATAATATTTCTGTTTGCCTTTTTTTAAAAAATAGGTCTAAAGATGATCCATTTCTGCTCTATGCCGCTTTTCACTCAGGTGGTCACTGTATGATGGTAACTAGAGATCTATTACGGGATCACAAAGCTGTTCTTTCCGACAGTGTTACTCGACGCTTGTTTTTTAAATGGCAACGTGGACATCAGATGGTAGTGTCAAGCTATCTACCAGGAAAGATATTAACATTTGAGGTACTGTTGCACATATTAGTGCTATTCTTGTTTAATAATTATCTAGCATGAGTGATAAATCAAAAGGGGTTTAGTCTTTGTAAAGAAAGCCCAGATGATTTTTTCCAATAAAAATGTCCTCAGCATAATTTGTAATGTTTAATATTTATATACTTACTGAAGGATTGTTTTTGGATTACATTCCGTTATGAGAAACCACTTTTATCAATGCTTTGATTGTAATCTTATGTAAGAGAATGTATAGATAAAGATGGAGAGGGGTGGGGGGAATGGGACCTGGTTCAATTAAATGTTCCCTCAGTTCATTACTGGAGGATACCAAGTTTCCTACCTTTGGTTTAAAATATATTATAAAATCTTAATATTCTTGTGCAAAATATATAATGCAGTCCTGTTGTTCATTATTTAATAGGATGCTTTGCCATATGACACGATTGTGCAGACTGATGGTAATACATGGCACATTCCCTATGATGACAACTTGTCCAACAGAGTTTCTTATGAAATTCCAATGAAGTGGCTCTGTCTTCAGAAGAAATAAAAGATGCTTTTTTTGTTCAAAGTGAAAATGTATACATGGCACCATATTTCAAATAAATTTCAAGCAAACCATTTAAAACGTATTCCTTTTCTAAGACAACAGACCCAGACTTAAATAAATCTCTAAGTTACAAACAATATTTAATTCTACAAGTATTGAAAATTGTGATGCAACAGTTCTTTATGATTGATAAATGTAATTGTGGTTTAAACAAATTGCTTTTTGATGCCTTATGAGTTGTATATTTTTATTTCTCTGCTTTTCATCAGTAAATATATATTTTTCTTATGTTTCTCCTTTCCAGATGAGTATTTGGTACCATATAGCTCATCTTATGAGAAACAATTATCTGTTCACTTTAGAATTTTACTATTCATATGTTCCAAAATTCTCACTTTGGTGGGTTTTGATAAACTTTTCTGACATAAGTAGAAAAACAGGGAAGAAAGGAAGCACATTAAATATTGAAAAAGTGACTGAGAAACAGCCAGTTCTGTTATAGAATTTGCAGATTACACAGCTTCAAGAATGGAGATACCATGAACAAAAATTAAGTAGATAGAAATTTACTAAAATGTAACTGCCTCTGGAGTTCCCATTTGAAAGGACCTAATTCAAAATTTGTACACCAGAAACTGGAATATCAGTAGGCTTTCCCCTCGCTTCCCAATTATGGAACTATTATTATCCTCTTCAATACTGGATATTTTGATTACAGTATGTAACATCCTTGAAATTCTTTCCAGCTAGTCAGCCTACATTAGCAAATATTAAGTGGAATAGATACAGTAAATGAATGAGGTACATAAGAAATTTCAGTTAATATTTTAACACCGTTATAGTTCTAAATAGAATTGTACCGTGTTTTATTTTTAAGCAATTAAACGTTTTCACAAATAACAGCAAAAATGTGTTCAATGGCTTTTTTAGAACGTGATGTAATAGTAAAAGATATAAAATTGAGGAAAAATGGTAGCTGATTTTTATTTTAAATTTAACACTCAAATCATACAAATTCTGACAAGTGACAACTTCGAAAGCAGTCTATAAGGTAGTCCTCAACTTACAACAGTTCATTTAGTGACTGTTCAACGTTATAATGGCCCAGAAGTGACTTATGACCATTTTTCATATTTATGACCGCTGCAGCATCCCTAGTCAGGTGATCAAAATTCAAATGCGTGGCAACCTCACATTTATGACCATTGCAGTGTTCCAGGGTCATGTGATAACCTTTTGCAATCTTCTGACATGCAGTCAATGGGGAAGCCAGATTCACTTAACCATGATACTTGTTTAACAACTGCAGTGATTCACTTAACAACCTGTTAAGTGAATGACCTTGGAAAGAAAAGTCATAAAATGGGGCAAAATTCACTTAACAAATGTCTCACTTAGCCACAAAAGTTGGGCTCAATTGTGGTTGTAATTTGAGGATAATCAAATTGTTAGCTGGAAAAGGTGGCACCAGATGCCTGCTTTCTTTTCACAGATCAACACAGCTCTCCTTGATTGACAGCAGCTTATTATTGTCTTCTGACTCTTACTTAGTCTATACAGGTAGTTCTGATAATTCCTCCTAGTTTGCCATCCAATTTCATCATGCCCGGTTTTATTTTGAAATCGGTCAAGAGAGTTTTTAGAAGCCTTTAAAAAAAGATGGTGGGGAACGATCCCAGGTCGGTTACGTGATTCTGTTAATGAACAGAGTCTGGTGTTGCACAAAGTTTCGTCCCGAAAACACCGATTCACAACGTTCAAACAGCTACCGAAATATCGCGCGAGAACACTCACTCTTTAAAAGCCCCCACCCCCGCACGCGCCTTCTGTCAAAAAGGGCTTTTAAATTCTTGCATCTAACTCTTTAAAGCGCATGTGCGGCAGCCAAGAAACGTTTGTTTTCTCGTTGGGGCCGGCGTGATTATCATTGCTTCTGCGCCTTTGCGCAACCGTGACTAAGGAACAAACGAATAGGAAACCAAGCGTACCAGTTCCTCCGCTTCTGGGAGGGTAAAGGCTCCTCGTTGCGCCTGCGCGTGACCTCGTAGCCCCGGAAGCACTACTCCGTCTCGCTCGCTTTCAGCCAACTTCCCTCCCCGGCCGCTGGAAGTAGAAACCTTTTCGCATGCTGTGTTCGCGGACAGTTCCCCCCACTGTTGCCGCTTGTTTTGCTTTCTCTGCGCGACCATGTCTCGAGGCTCCAGCGCCGGCTTTGACCGGCACATTACTATTTTTTCCCCCGAAGGGCGCCTATATCAAGTAGGTAAGTGAGTGGCAAAAACCGCCTCGTCACGATGCAGGACGCCCGCTTTTTTTTCCCTCTCGCGAAGGAGGGGAAGAAAAAAAATGCATGTTAATGAATCCTTCGGCTTCTTCCGTTCCCTGAAGTGGGGCGCCTGGTAGAGAAACGGGGGAGCAGTCAGCGTCCCAAAGAGACTTGTGTTGCAATCGCGGTGGTTTTCAAGCCCTTCACCTGCTGCTTACTGTACGAGGCGCTTCGGGTATTTTCTTAGGTGTAAATAGGCGGGCTTGGAAAGATCACCCGTTGTCAGCAGGGGGAAAAAAACCTTCGTCATTGCGCGAAAGCGAAAGCGAAACAAAACGCTCGGGGAAAGTGGGAACGCTCCCGAGCGCTAGTAATAATAATTCTTTATTGTTAGTGCACAACATACGTACAAAGAGATTAGTTGAGATCTCTCAGTGCACTGTCCCCGACACAAGGCAGCTCACAGTGAAGACAAAGAAAAAACATCCCTAACCCAATCAATCACATTAACAAACACCCAGTCCCATCACACCAATGTGAACCTGTTACACGTTGCAAGATGTAGATGGGGAGGGAAAAATGGAGCCTTGAGAAGTATTACTTTCCCCACCTTGCGAAAGTTTACCGCTTTGGGGTTTTTTTTCTTCTCAATGCTGACTTCGTGGCATAACTCGGGATTAAGGCTCAGAGGGGTGCCTTTTCAGATGCATTGTACATAATTCCCAGCTTTCTGCAATATTAGCTGCAGGTTCTGGGAAGTGGGTCATTCAAAGGGCCACCCAATTGAAGGCTGGTAAAGAATTACCCTGCTTTTCCTCTGGCATTTATTTACTTGTGAGTCGTTTTATGATGTTGAACTATGGCGAGAGAGGACAGTGGTGAGAATGCAAAAAATCAGAATATAGACATGAGAGGTGTATGCTTTTGTGATGTGACACTTATGGTTTATTGATCCCACAGGTAAGAGTTTACCAAAATAGTGTCTGGGCCTGATTACATTTCTACTGTATTTTGCATGTATGAGACTCAGTTTAGTATCTGATAGTATAGATAAATGTGAATACAGAATATGAAGATTCTAAATAGCAATAACACTTAGACTTACATACGACTTCATAATGCTTTACAGCCCTCTCTAAATGGTTTACAGAATCAACATATGCCATCAACAATCTGGGTCTTCATTTTACCAATCTTGGAAGGATGGAAGACTGAGTCAACCTTGAGCTGATCAGGATCGAACTCCTGGCAGTGAGCTGAATTAGCCTGCAATATTGCATTCTAACCACTATGCTACCACAACTCAATTATAGCTATCTGGATATTTCAAATAAAAAAAATACATAGCATCACTTTTAAATGGTACAACACTTAGTCTAAGCCAGGGGTCCCCAACTCCCGGGCCAGCAAGCAAGCAGAAACCAGGCTGCACAAGCAAGCGACACCCCATACATGCACAGGCGGGGTCCAGGCAGGTGCATAAGTACGCCCATCCCAATCTGTGAAAAAATGGCCCTCCATGGAACCTGTCCCTGGTGCCCAAAAAGTTTAGGGCTGCTGGTCTAAGACATTGTTGTGGATGTGAACTATCTGCTTTTAATGAAAGTTTGTATATGATGCTGACTCTGTTACAAGTACTGTTGGTAAAATCTGTGTTCAATGTATCACTAGAATATGCATTCAAGGCCATAAACCAGGGTGGACTGACATCAGTAGCTGTTCGTGGAAAGGACTGTGCAGTTATTGTCACACAGAAAAAAGTACCTGTAAGTATTTTTTTAGCAAGACCTATAATATGACTATGGATAATCTTTGACCACATGTATGGCTGACTGGTATCTTTGTGGTTCCTTATTTTTAATTCTTCTGTGCTCTGATCTTACTAGAGGTGGGTTGCTCCCAGATCGGGCGAACTGGTAGTGGCGGCAGCGGGAGGCTCCGGTCACCCGGCTGAATGCTTCTCGGTCACACGAGCAAACCAATACTAAAAAAAAAATGGAAACCCACCACTGGATCTTACTAATGAAGAGTATTGGAATTTTGTAGAATGATGGAAAATCTGACTTTGAAGTTCTTAGGAAAGAGTATTTTCTTTGGGGAGAGAATATTTTCCATAATGTTCAAAAGATAACATTGAAAATTGTTAATGATAAAATGAAATTATGATTACAATGTCAGTAGAATCAACAATATTCTTAAGAAGAATTTTTCCAGATAAATGCGCCTGTTCTCAACCATCAAATGTCCTATGTATGACATGAATTATATATTTTCCCTGCTAAATTAAAAAAAAACCTTCATACTATGTATATCTCACTATTGTTTTTTGATGAAATTGTTTTTTGATGAAATTGTTTTTTGATGAAATTGTTTTTTGTTTGATTCTTTAGGACAAGCTACTGGATTCGAACACAGTGACTCACTTATTCAGAATAACTGAAAATATTGGCTGTGTAATGACCGGAATGACAGGTATAAACGTAAGACAAATCAGATAGTTAATAGGTTGTACAGAAGTGAAGTATCTCATTTTATTTTTCTTTTAAATAATACTTTAATATTGCATAATCAAGAACATCATCTAAAGGCAATGGAATGCATTTTTAGAAATGGCATTAGATGATGGTACTAATTTTTAATCTTACCCATACTTATTAAAATACCTGGGAAGGGAAGAGGGTGGAATAATAATATTTCAGATTTGGAGGGATATATCTTGGGCTAAAGGTAATCCTCAACCTATGGGCATTTGTTCATCAACCATTTGAAATTATGATGATGCTGAAAAAATAGTTGTTATGACCATTCCTCAGAGTTCCAGCCATCCTGGCAACCCCACAATCACATAATTGTGATCTGAGCACTTGGTAATCAGTTCATAATTAAGACTGGCTGCAGCACCCCGCATAATTTGTTTTCCATTTGCAATCTTTCCTGACAGCTTCCCCAGAAAATCAAAGGGGAAGCCAGCAGAGAAGGTTACCTGTGCATCTTCCCCAGCCTCTCTGTGCTTATGCTGCAGCCATTTATGCACCTTTCTTGGACTTGTGGTGCTTCACTAACACATCCACATATCTGTGGTGCACCCTCCACAGTCCATCCTTGCACCCTCCCTGATTCTTCCCTCCCGCATACTTTCTTGCGCTCTCCTTGACCCACACTGGTTCTTGTACATCCATCTCACCATTACTGACCCATACCATATCCCTTGCCCACCTTCTCCAGCCTGCATTGTATCTCTTCACATCCTTGTTCACTTTCCCTGACCTCCCTGTGTTAAGTTAGTAACACAGTTGTTAAGTGAAATTGGCTTCCCCATTGACTTGGCTGTCTAAAGATCGCAAAAGCTGACCCTGGGACACTGCAACTGTTGTAAATACATCCCAATTGCCAAGGGTCTGAATTTTGATCATGTAGCTGTGGCAATGCTGCAATAGTCATAAGTGTGAAAACAGTCAGTCACTTTTTTCAATGCCATTGTAACTTTGTATGGTCATTAAACGGATAGTTGTAAGTCAAGGGCTACCTGTATATTTTTAGGAATATGAGAATTTTAAAAAGTCTTTTATTTGAATTTAAGTACTTTTTCCTTGCAGTTATACTGTTAAAAGGCATATGGGAATGACTTTGGATCTTTTATTTCTACAACAGCGGACAGTAGATCCCAGGTGCAGCGAGCTCGCTATGAGGCTGCTAACTGGAAGTACAAATACGGTTATGAGATTCCAGTGGATATGCTATGTAAAAGAATTGCAGATATTTCTCAGGTCTATACACAGAATGCTGAAATGAGACCTCTTGGTTGCTGTAAGTATAAATACAAAGTGAAAGTAATAACAAACTGTTGTGTGTAATGAAGCCAGAAATTCTCATCAACAATTGATCTCCACAAAATATTTTGACGTATATAAAATTCATTTTTTAATATTAAGATAAATGCTAGTATTCTGTTGAACACTAGCATTTATCTTAATGCTTCCCTCTTTCCCCCCGTTTACTCTTTCTATGTAGCTCAATTAGTATGGTCTGTGCTTTGAGATTATAGAGGTTATTGTCAAAAACGTCTGGAAGACATCAGATTGCCTCCTTCTAACTTACCCCATACAATTAAGCAGCGATATTAATTGGGAATTGCACAATCTTATATTCTTTCTCTTGGTTTATTTCATAACTGCAGCGATGTATGTCATCAGTTCAAGTTTTTAGAGAAGCTTACTTGACAAATACTAATGCTGCTTTCAAATGAATATGCTTCCTTCTGGTTTACTGCATCCCAACCATAAGAAAGTAAAAGAGTGGATTCTCATACAAAAGCTTTATAGATTTTAAAATGTTTCCATTGATTGCTCTTCTTGGGTTAGATCCCTTTTAAAAAAAACAAAACAAAACAATGCATCAAATAAGATTAATGTTCTTCAGAATAACAGGCTTGCTTTTTTAATGTATTTTGCCCTAAAATGCTGACCTATATAAATTTTAATGCAATGAGTTCCTTTAATTGAATTTTAGTTGTATTTGGATGATAACATTGGAAATGGTATCTATTCAGTGTTAATCTAAGAGTTAGTAAAATGATTTTATTTTGGTGAAGCAAAAATTTTAAAAAATGCATCATTTTATGTCAAGGATGCTGAGTCTACTAATGATAGATGTGTCTGCAGTAGGATTTATCGTTTTCTTAGTTTTGCCTGGATCAGTATTTTCAGAATCCTTGCTTGTGCAACATCAGTTAGATTACGTGATTATTTAAAATAGTTACATATAAATATTATTTAAAATACTGCATATTTTATGGGATACATAGCTTTCTAGTGATAGCTGTTAAATGATACATTGAAAAGCATGAAATGAAATCTTAGGTACCGTATTTATCGGAGTATAAGATGCACTAAGGTTCTGAAGAGGCAATTTTCTTTTTTAAAAAAAAAAGGTTTTTGCACTCTGCAAATCTCCCAAAACACCTGCATGGCGTTTTTTGTGAAAATGGGTCCGTCTCCCCCCCCCCAAAAAAAGGCATGAATAGCCTTTAGGGGGCTTGCAGAATGCTCCTAGGGGATGCCCCCCCAAAATGAGCAAACAACGGCCCATTTTTCATGAAAACGGGCCCATTTTTTTGTCAAAGAAATTGCATGCATAGCCTGTAGTAGACTTATAGTACTCCTGGGGGGTGGGGGAGCAAAATTGAGTAAAACGGCCCATTTTTCACTCATTTCTGCCCTCCCCAGCCCCCAGGAGCTCTCTGAAAGCCTTCTATGGGCTCTGCACGGCCATTTTGGTGAAAGGGGCGGGGTTTCAGGAGGCAAAAAATGTTGTATTCGGTGTATGAGACGCACCCAGATTTTCAGCCTCTTTTTTGAGGGAAAAACGTGAATCTTATACTCCAAAAATACGGTCTCTTGATTATTAAAAATCAGTTCTACACACGTGACTCTTGAGCTCTGAGTGGTGTTCTGCTTTTAAGAGAGAGTTGTAAAATGAAAATTGGAGTCTAGGAATTAGAATTCTGTCAACTGAATTATAAGAAATTGTAGAAGTCAAGCAATCTTCAAATTTATGGAAATTCCATCAATACCAGGAATTTGCTTTAAAATGGAAATAGGACTAAGTATAATATGTTAACCAAAAGTTATTTTGAATTATTATTATTTTTTATATCCCACATTTTTTATTTTTATAAATAAATCAGGATGGCAAAAAAATCTTGTTCTCCTTTCTCCTCCTATTTCCCTACAACAACAATCCTGTGAGGGAGAGACTGGCCCAGAGTCACTTAGCTGGCTTTCAGGCCCAAGGTAACACGAGAGCTCATGAGCTCCCAGTTCCTAGCCTGATGCCCTGACCACTAGACCAAACTGACTTTCCCATTAGACTAAAGTGACTTTACTGTCTGTCTGGCAAACTTTTGCTTACATTTTTCCAAATCCAAAAAAAAAGGATTTTATAAATGCAGATGTTTAAAAAGAGAGTATATTTTAGAAAACCTTTTAACTTGGGGAATAGTTCTGATCTTAATTAGGATGTTGAAGTCTTAACAGAAAATAATTTAAATAATGCCTTTATATGAATTTTTAGTATTAACCAGACTTGAAATAGTGATATTGTTCTTGGTCACTGGACCATAAAGTTACTGAGAGCTGAAGAAGATGCAAACATTGCCAAAAGAATTATTAGGAAACTGAAACAATGGTAGTCTGTTTTTCTCTAAGGAAGGAAAGGAGGGGAGCATGTATTGTTGGACAGGAAAAGGTTAAACTTGGCATTTGCAAACAAAGTTCTTGATTGTCAAGAGTATTAAGAGTATTTTTGGTTGCGAGGCTTCTAATCTTCCAAATCTCAAACTAGGAACAGCAACAATCGCTGCACAATTGCTCCAATAATTCTAACCTGCCTGCACTGTCAAATATTAAATAATATTAAATATTAAGATATTTAATGAGCTAAAGAGAATTGTTATACTGAACAAAGGCTGAAGTCTATTCATGCATATTTTGTATAAAAGGTGTATTTAAAAAACTTGATTAGAACCAACTTCTTTGAAAAAATAAGAAAGCTGTCTTTGTTTACATATTTTATGTTTTGTTAGCTGCTGTTAGTTGTTCAGAATCACACTGTTGATATAGCATGCCATATGTATTTAAATAAAATTATTATTCAAAATTATTATTTCTTTAAAGGCATGATTATGATTGGCATTGATGAAGAAAACAATCCTCAGGTATACAAGTGTGATCCAGCCGGATATTACTGTGGGTTTAAGGCCACAGCTGCAGGGGTTAAACAAACAGAATCAACTAGCTTTCTTGAAAAGAAAGTGAAGAAAAAATTGGACTGGACATTTGAACAGACAGTGGAGGTAAGTCCATAGGATAGGATGTCGAGGCTTAATTGGTTGCAACCTAAAATGGAAGGTTTGTGATGTTTGCTTTAGTGTGGTCACTATCATTATATAAGATGTTGTCTTCTAAGTGGTGTGCTTAGAGTAAAATTTGCTTATGTGATTTATTCTCATCAGTATTTTCTATTCTAAAAATGCTGAAATGCATCCCAACTGGCATTTCATCTTTCTACAGCATGTTGCTAAAATTATACATCAATAAACTCAGTTGAACTCACCAGCAGATGAATAACACTTATTGTTTCTTGTGATAAATACTGTTGTCTTCCTTGGCAGAGCTTTCCGTTAAATCAATTACAGTAATGTCAGCTATAAATTAATAATGGAATACATTTAGTCCTCACTTAATGATCATTCATTCAGCAGCCATTTTAAGTTACAATGGCACCGAATGCTAAGTTATGGCTGTTGCAGTGCCCCCACAGTTGCATGCTCAAAATTCAGGTGCGTGGCAGCCTGTCCATAATTACTAGCACTGTGTGTGCTTCAACTCCCCCCACCCGCCTATCTGTCTCCCAATTTTGCCCTTTGGGCTTCCCTTGCGCAGCCTCACCAAAGCTGATGAGGCTGCACAGAGGCCTTATGAAAGACCAGCAGCTGCCTTGGTTAGATGGACCTCAGCAGTAAGAGGTAAGAAAGGTGCTGGTCAGGGGGGGAGGCAAGGGGTACGCAAGAGATACCGTTTGAGACAGGGAAAGTGCATAAGAATTGCTGTGTGGATCAGCATGGGAGTGCAGCATGGGTCAGGGACAGTGCACAAATGAGCATGCAGTAGGAAAATTCCCTGGTGTTTAAGTGTGATATATAAATAAGAATGTTGTGATGTTAGAAATGCATTTGATTGGCTGTATGAATATGTGTACAGATGATATTGCTGGCTGATCACCTGAATTGATTTGTATCAAGGGTAGGATTGTACTAGACAACCGGTGCCTGGTAGGGTTTCAGAGATTTTTTCCTTACCTAAACAGAGAAAGAGAATGACCAAGGGCAGGCTAAAAAGCAGCAGGAGCAATTTCCAACATCCTGCCAGCTTCCCCATTGAGTTTTCTTGTGGGTATCTGGTAGGGAGCATTGGATGTATTTATTTAGTGTATGTTATATCATACGTGAAGTGGCATATATATTAACATTTCACCTAGATTAGTAAAACACAATAACATATAAATGTTGAAAAGATCTATGTTCAAATACCAATGACTAGATCATCTAACCATACAAGCGCAGCATTTTTATATTAAAATCAGATACTAGACCGGTATATACCCTCAGCTTACAGCCGGTCATGATATGATCTACAGTTTAATGTGGGTTCCACAGTCACAGTGAAGGGAGGATACTATGTCTCATTTATACAGAGAATCCCAGCAGATGCCGTTTGATAGGTGCGAATCCTATTCAGGATTGTCCATTGCTGATGTCGTAGTTCAAAGCCTGGCACCTTTTTTGTAGGGTCATTTATATGTCTTCTTATGTCTGGACTTTAAGCCACCCATTTGGATTTCCATTGGGAATCAGTGTTAAAGTTCTTGGGCAGATGTGCCAGTGTGGGTTTCCTGGATTTGAATCTTCCGGCTAATAAATGAGGAAGTTTGGCATTCACTGGTAGCAGTAAGTTTTTCATAATTTTTCTCTATTTTCTCACTAGTGCATCTTGCCTTTGTAAAACTGGTGGTGTTATGTGGCTCAGAACAGGAAGCCAGCAAGTTGAAGTGGTTTTAATACATCCGCTTATAATCCTCTTGGTGTCGCTGAGTCTGGTGTCTAATTTACTAGTATGGCAGCTATTAAGCCATACAGGGGGCACCTAGTGCTGATGACCTGAAGGTGGCAGTTGAAGCACCCCATTTAGTTCCACATAAGTTCTGGGGCATGTTGTTCCTAGTATTGATTTTTGCCACTGTATTCTCTAGGTGTACTTTACAGGACAGAATCTGGTCCAATATTACTCCAAGGTACTTTGGATCGGGATTATAGGGAAGTAAGTTGTTTAATAGACCTTTGGGGCTTCATATGCTAGTTTGTTAAGGTGGAAGGAAGTAGTTACTGTTTTGCTGGTGCTAAGAGTGAACCTTCAGTTAGTGAAGAATTTTCCCAAGATTTTAAGATATTTGGACAGGAGGTTGTCTGCCACCTCCATATGTTTTTCTTGTGCTGCTATGGAAAGCATTGGAAATCTCATCCTTTTCTTTCAGGAAATCATAAAAAATGAAAAATTAGAGTGGATAGATAAATTTGTAAAGACATTAAAAGATTGTGGGTAATGTCATTGTGTGGAATCAATGCTTGTCAAAGTGAAAATGTCTGATATGTTTTGTTATTTAAAACAGAGTCAGGCACAGAAGTGGAATCATAAAAATAGAGTGGGAATGGGCTACTTAAGTGTATGTTTGTAAAACAAGAAGTGATAGGATTGATTGAATGAATGGATAATGAATAATAAAAGTGAGCGATTGAAGGGGAAGGCTGAGAAACTGTAGTTGATTAAATTCTCAAAAAGAAAGGTGGAAGTTTTAAAATAAAATGTGAGCAATGTAGTGAAAGCATGTATCTTTTTTTAAAAAAGTTGACTAGTTTTTTATTCACTTTCACTTTTAACAAGAGATTCCTCCACTTTTCCTCATTTCAAGCCATCAGTACAGTAGAACATATTAAAAGTGATTGTTTCTCCTAATAAATTTTGCCTTTTTTTTTTTGCTTTTTACATTTCAGGATACTTGTTTGGTTCATCATTAAGCATATAATGAATTTCAATCCAGACTTCTTTGGGTGTTTTATTTATGAAATCAAATCTATTACATTTATTATTTATCTTTACCATGTAATCATAAGGAATATTGCTGAGATTTTATCTTGTTGGTCTGATGATGTTATTTGTTTTCTTTAAATTGCAATTTGGCAGAGGGTGATTTGAGCTGAAGTCAGCACCAGATCTGTCATATGCAACTTATTACAATTTTATAATAAGCATATATTTTTTAGTATTGTGTCAACAAAATGTTGCAAGTTACTATTAATAAATTTTATTTTAGTTGATATAATTGAGCCATAAGATAAGGTCTGCCTCCTTAGACTACTTTTTAAAAAAAAATTAAAACAATAACCTAGTCCATACAGCAATAGTGTTAAAGTGAGCCTTAAAGAACATTTGAATTTGTTTGTGTCGTAATTATTAGGGCATAGGGAATTAGAATACAGGAGATGTATAGCTTTCTGTGGAGCCCTTTTAAACTGTAGAAAGAGTTTGGGGTTCATACTTTAGTAGCAAGAATTGTGGCACTATAAACATGTCATTTTTTTTCATAAATGCTGATAATTTACATAGCATTTTGGCTATAATTAGGACCAAGAGAAGGAGTGTGATTGTTGCTTGCATTGAGCCTTGCTTTGATTCAGGCATTTAACTAAATTTATGCTGGGGAACAAACTGTATTTTTAGCAATGCTTAAGATAAATGAATATTCAAATTTATTCAAAATAGTAAATTTAGCGACCATATAAGGTATATATAACCAGCATCAACCCATTTTAGTACTATTAACTATAGTATAGTTAATAGTATAATGGGTTGGTACTGGTTATACATACCTTATATATAACTATACTATAGTTAATTATTATTAGCTATAGTATAGTTAAGTCAAGGTGGTCCTTGTCTTAACACCAGCTTGATTAACGTCATTCATACGTCCATTGCAACATCCCCATGGTCACATGATCGAAATTCAGGTGCTTGTCAACTGACACACTTATGATTGTAGTATCCTGGGATCATGTGATCACCTTTTGAGACTTTTTGACAATCAAAATCAATGGAGATGCCAGATTCACTTAACAACTATGTTACTAACTTAACAGTTGCAGTGATTCACTTAACAATTGTGGTAAGAAAGGTTGTAAAATGGGGCAAAATTCCCACTTAATAAATGTCTCGCTTAGCAACAAAAATTTTATCCTCAATTTTGGTCATGTTGAGGACTACTTATAGATACTTCAGAACAATAGTAATTTTACTAAAATAATTTTAAATGTGCTGGAAAGCTTTGACGATATGAATGCTACTAAGAATTACACTGCTATTTACACTGTGATTGTCTTTACAGATAATTCCTAACTAAGAAATTAATTTATAGACTATTTTTTTTTCCTTTTCAAAGCTGCTAGAATTTTGCATTTCAGATATCTATAAATGGGCTCTGCCTATGAATGGACAAAGAATAATAAATATCTAAAATAAAAACCAGATTTTGCATTAACTAGTACTAACAATATTTCTGATCAGATTTGTTTTATGTTTTACTTGTAGACCGGAATTACCTGTCTTTCTACTGTTTTGTCCATTGACTTCAAACCATCTGAAATAGAAGTAGGGGTTGTTACAGTTGATAATCCAAAATTCAGGTAATATGAAATTGATTTTTTTTCTTGTTGGGTAGGTTGATTGTGGCTATCTTAATTTTTAGTGTGCTCTCTGTTACCTGTATCCTGGCACTAGTACGTGGTCAGTTTATTATGTAACACTTGGTATCTAAATACATCCACTTAAATATGTCTGATATGAGTGTATGCCACTATAACTACCAAGGAAAAGTTAATTATAGACCTTTGGAATCCAAAGCAAATTGCATAGCAGCAATTAATGTCACAGCATTGCGTTGGCAAGAAAGATGATTCCTTTCTTAACATAATGCTGGAGATACTAGGCACAGGTTAGCATATTGATTCTATGCTATCTTTAATAGTTTACACAATACATATTTTACACAGTGAATGCTTTTCTTGTAGACTCTAGCATAGCCTGAACCCAGATATTCCAGCATGTGGAACTCAAAAATAACTCACACAGACACTTCTATAATGTTTCCTTTGTAAAATTCATTTGCAGTTAATATAATTATGCTGCAAATCCTTGGTATTTGTTCATCCCACCAGATTGGGTAGGACAGACATGCTTCACGTCCCTTCCCTTAAAAGTTGCCACCTTACAAGTCCTAAGAAGTTATATTTCTCTGTTTTTATTGATTATATATTGTGTTTTATTTAGAAATTGTCCAGAGTTTAATTTTTAAATGGGTAAAACATACAAATGTTTTAAATAAATAAATAAAGTGATTATTTGAGGTGAAGCATTAAAATTCCCATTGCTTTTCCCTCTTTCTAGGATTCTTACAGAAGCCGAAATTGATACGCACCTTGTCGCTCTAGCAGAGAGAGATTAACTCTGTTTAAAATGGCTCATTCTGTGATTGCAAGGCAAAATGTTTGGTGAATACAAATGGGTGGTTCTGAATTATGGGTTGAAAAAAGAATCCTCTGTATCTGATGTACTTCTTCACCTTGATAAATAAAGTGAGGTTTTGGAATGGTTTGTTCTCTTATTGTTTGATGTTAAAGTTACAGGTCAGAGATGCTGTGACTCAATCTATAACTTTTATTCCTTTGAGAATGGAGTATAGTCCCTGCCGCATTTTTAAGTCTTCCAGAATTTCACTATGCACAGCATACTAATAAAGGATCCCTTACTACTTTTGGAAACATAGCAAAAAATTCTATGCTGATCTTCTGTATATGTGAAAAGATAGGCCCACTGATCTTATTTTCTGGATAAATGTGTGTGCAGCACTAGCTTCATTTACTGTATTTTTTGTGTGAGTCCAATAAGCAGAGATGAATACAATATAATTGAAAATCAATTGAAGTGACAAAAGATGTAACATTTGCAAAGCTGCATTCAAGTATATGACGATTTGAGAAGAAAATTGGGGCATACAAAATGTTACATTTGAAACAGTTTGAAACACTTTTTGTATACTCTCAGAAGTACTTTCCTCAGAGTCAGCGGGTTTCTGAAAGTTTAGAATGTGTTAAAAGAACCATGGGACTGATTTCAAAATCTATCTTGAATGTATAATTTATTAGGCTAATTTGTCTTTCACCAATCTCAGATGTGGTACATGTCTGCTTCAGTGATGTTATAGCCAATCTGCCAGTCTTTGCAATAACTTTATAACATGTGAAAGCTCTTATGATCTCCAGATCTCTTCATCAGTTAAAATACCAGAAAAGCAGGTTAAGATTTCACCAGGTGTTGGGATGATTTCAAGGTGCAATTAAAACTGCTTACATTAAAACTGCTGCTTGATCAGCTTTTTTTGGTGAGGGGGAAATTTTCAATTGGCCATCATAGTCAGCAAGACTTTAGCAGTTAAAACAACAAATAAAAATACAATAAAAACTCCATGAAATGTTAAAAGTAGTTATTGTTTTAACCTACTTCATATCTTAAGAATATCTTAAAACATGTTAAGTTTATTTTATGTGTGAGTTTTCACTTCTGAACCTAACTTGGATAATACCTGGCTCTTGTATTTCAAGAATCCAGCATACCTTTGCAGTTTTTATATAGCAACAAATGCACACTTTTCAAGTTTTAAATCACCATCCTAGCCTTTCAGCTTACAAGACTCAACATGAATTCTTCACATTATTTTACAAGCTTCCCTAAATTCCTAAACTTTGTTAAACATGAAATAGTGAACTCAGAAAATGATTGGCAGAGAAAAAGAGATTATGGCGCTCTCTGTATGCCCTCAAGCACTACTGGGCCACAGCCTGCTAGAAACCAGGCTGTGCAAGTGATGGGCAAATGTGCAAAGCTCCACTCATGCGAGAGGAGGGCACTTGTGCTCACATGCAAGTGGAGCTTTGCACATTTGGCTGAGTGAAGGTTCATGGAGCAGAAGTGCACGAGTGGAGGATGCATGTGCAAGAGGAGTTCCATTTGCATGAGTGGAGGGTGCATACACCTGCCACTTATCAATTGTGCACGTGCATCTGCCACTCACTCCACACCAGGCCAGGCCACCAAGGTGGAAAGGTTGAGGACTGCTGGTTTAGAGCACTTGCAATCCTCCAGAGCGGATTTGAAAATGAAAAAGATACAGGTTTGCTTCAAGTGGGAAGTAAAACTATTGCACATCATTGTTAGGTAAACATTTTATTTTGATTTTGCAGCTTTCTGAAGCAATATATAACTTGCTGTGCTATATGTACATTGGCCCAAATAAAGGAATTCTTTTATTTTTTACATGCCTTTTAAAATGGAAGTTTTAAAATCTAATATAAATTTATAGGGTATAGTTGCTTTTGAATGTTTAAAAATATGATGTAATAACCATGCTTCGCTGACAGGAAGCTGAACAAATACCACAACTTGTTGTCAACTAAAAGCCTGCCGCCGAGAAACCTGAAGTAGATAATTACAAGTTATATAATAATTCTGAATGTACTCAGACAAGACTGTAGTGAATGCTTCATAACCCCAGGATAACTCTAGAATGGTGGGTTTGGGGGAGGGGATTTTTGGCAGTGGATGGAAAAATCTGACAACTGGACAGTTGATCAGCTTCACTTCAGCAAAGACAATGTGGGAAAAATAAGCATATGGAAACTACTATTAAATAGCGATAGCTCTTAAAAAGAGTTTAAAAGATTATCTTACACCAGGTGCAGACTAAATTCTGCCTCCTGCAAATAATTTAGAACTGCTATCCTGATACAGTGGGGCTGCTAAGTCCGCTATTTCCACCAGCATAGCCAAGCACAGTTTAGGAAGGCAGTTCTACAGGGATCCTCAACCATTTTCAGCTAGAAGGCATAAGTGGAATGTGGTGCTTAGATAAAATGAAGAGCCACACTCTTCAAACTTGTAGGGAGTTTTGGAACCCTATGGCTCTCTTTAAAAAACGGCGCTTTTATTCTTTTAAACAGATACGGTTCATAGCTTACTGTGAAATGCTAATGTCTTATCTCTTCCTCTTTCCTCTTCTTAGTCTGCAATGTTCATATGACAGCTCAAAGTCATTGTATGCATTGTATGGGAAACTCCTAATAGAACAGCCTGGAGCAGACCAGTAATGTAATAGCAATAATAAAGGCTGAAAAAAATAGATGTACCTTCCTCAGTCTTGGCTTGGTTAATTATTCAGATTCAAAAATAACAATTAAACATTATTACTGCCGCTCAACCAGTTTATCTGCTATGTAATTTGATGACTGTAGGGATAACAAACTGCTCACTGATCAGCTTAGTTGCCTTTAAATCTGCACAAAGCAATGTTCTTTCCCTAAGTTATGGGAAAATAAATGCCTATCAATGGCACAGCAGTATTTTGAGAAGAAGGTTGAGGAGGCTGGCTGACAAAATACTTTTCTTAGAACCCAAGCTATGTATGGTACAGGCTGCTGGATCTTCTGCATTTGGGTTCTCATGTTAAATAGCAGTATCTTTGATTAATTGCTGCATTACTGATAATTTTAGGAGTATCATTTAACAAGGACCTCCTGTATTCCAAACCATTCAAAATCATAACTGTGAGTTTAGAATGTACTATTGGAATAAAATACGGACAAAATACACAGGGAAGGGCAGTTTTAAAGAAATTGCCAAAAGGGATTTGAAATTTCAGGTGTCTTCAGGTTTTTAAGTAAAAAAAGTTTTGTAAAAGGAAAATTGCAATAGTTGTACAAAACATCTCTGTATAGTTTTCCAAGTGCATTGTAGGGTTGTTACAGCTGATGGATTAAAGATGCTCGTGATCATGTACTCTTACTCAATTACTTTAGTTTCCTTTTATGTGTTGTAATCTTTGCAGATCCTCTGTGGTTACTTCTAAATGTTTCAGTAAAGTAAACATATTCCTGACTGGCTTTTTTTGATCAGAACATATCACAAAAGTTTTGTTTTATGGCATATAGAAAACGCAGTGAAGATCCAGACTATTATGGATTGATAGCATTAATTCCTGCAAAATAAAAATATATTGATCCATCAACATTTAAAGGTCTGTTGCTACATCCTGCTCATTAATTAATGTGCTTTGTATGTCGTTAAATGCTATTCATGCTATATTAAATTGCTGCATTGCTTATTTTTCATAGACAATATTGTAATCAGGTTTCATTTTGGATAGATTTCGCTTGTGTATTGTGGTCAGCCATGTTTTGTTTAACCATGGTTTACTAAATTCATAACTAGCTGAATGTGCATAAAAAGCTAAGTGAATGGTATGTTTTAGAAGCTACAGTGACAAATTGGAAAATATGCAGAGTTGAAATCATACAAACCCCATTATTGCTTACACTGCTGTGTGAACCAAGTTTAAATGTAATGCTTCCTTGAGGGATTTTGCCCAGGTCAGTTGGGCCAATGGACAATATGCAAACTTTTTTGTAAGTTATTACATCACCCTTCATTTTACAGGTTCACAGTGAACTAAGAGGATTTGCTTGCTGCTTTGGACTGATAGTCCAGAATTGCAAAAAAAAGGGAAATAAACTGTCTCTTAGTTCTTCCTCTCACTTTTACTCACTTTTACCATAGTTTATTGAATAATCTCTCCCTCTTAAGTCCCTAAAAATGGCTCTGCTGAATCAGGCCAAGACCCATCTTACTCAAGCATTGGTCTCAAACAGATTATCTTTTGAGTTGTTTGCAAGCAGGAGTTGGAGATATTTCCTTTCTACTGCTGTTCTGTTGCAACTGGTGTTTGGAGATATGCTGTTCCAAAATCTGCATGTAATGCTGACTTTTCAAGACTAAGAGTTCTTGATAGACCTGTCCTCCATGATTTATCCAATTATGTTTGAAAACTGAGTTAGCAGGTATTATCATATCTTGTAGTAATGAATTCCATGAATTACACAGGTTAATTGTGCACAGTTGAAGAAATATTCTTGCTTGTTTTAAATCTTTTTCCAATCTGCTTTCATGGAAGACCTCTGATCCTAATGTTTTGTGTGCGAGAGAGAAACTTTTCTTTGATCACGTTTGTGCTGTTGCATCATTTTGATTGCTTCTTTGGCACATTTTCCCACTTTATTAGATTTTTTTAAAAAAATTGCAAGAACTATGCATAGTGTTCCAAGCATGAATGTGCCATTGATTTCTATTGCAAAGCTGGCTGTTTTATTTTCAATCATTTAAAAAAAATAATTCTTAGCATGAAATTCGTCTTTTTTTACAATTGCTGGACACTGAGTGGACGGCATCATTGAACTATCTGCTGTGATTCCAAACATTTTGGTTAGTTGCAGATCCCCATTAGTCAAGATTTATGAACCAGTTAATAAATCCCAACACTGGTTCCAACACTGATGCATGAGGAATTCCATCTTCCATCATGATTTTATGCAACCTCTTTCAAACTGATAGTTTCCACATGCGATGGAACTAAAAACTCAGGGTTAAGCTGTTTAAGAAGGCTGAGCCCAAGGGAGGGTCAAGCACATCATCACTCTTGAGTCCCTTCCCTCCCACAAGAGAACTAAGTCCAGCCTACTTTGAACTCCATTAACTCATGGTATTTACCACCAATTTGTTTTGACCGTTATTAATTCAGATTCTTGTAGAGAACATAAGCTTGTAATAAATCTTTATATTGATTTAAAGTGCCTGGACTTCTTATTTTCCCGTGCTTGATGGGTATTGTGTAGTTGATTTTCTGCTCCTTGGTAAGAAAACCAAGAAAAAGATTGAATAGGGAGCAAATTGAAGAGAAGTATCAGGTGTTAGAAAATGCATGTGTCAGCATTCCAAATATCATGCAGAATTAAATCAGAGTCCAAGACAAAGCTATCCTTAAAGTTCCAATTTAATAAGACAGACATGTTGGCACAAACTGTGGAATCCCAAATATAAAAGCTTCATGGGATTCCACCCAGTTGAAAATTCATGATCTTATCCCCACACCCATAAATCCACCACATGGTCCAATCTTCTTCGGCCATGCTGGTATTTCCATCCATCTAGTTCTGGTCAGATGCAGAGGTGCAGAGACAAAAGATGACCTTGGGCTTCTAGAAAGGAATGACAACAACAGATTCTACTCCTTTCTATTCCCCCTCCCAATTACTACACTAATGAAACAGCATAGAAAATAATAGAGTGTGTGGCAGGCCAAATATCCTGAAAGGAATATAACTGCAGGCCTGACAGCATGTAGGTTCCCATCCTCCCTTTTGAGGTAAAACAGGAAAAATGCATATAATCTCAATTCTTTCATCTCACTTGTCTTGTAATGATGCTAGGAGCTGATAACTCTATATGATATATGTATGTATGATATATGTGCCACTGAAAAATGTAGCTTTAGCTGAAATGCTTAAAAAGATTATCTTTGTAGTTTAAAACAATGTATACAGACACATGTATAAAGCCTTACAAATAAAAATCCCTTCTCTTCATCTGCACAAATTTGGGAGATGAGCTATTTGGTTTCTGGCTGAAAGTGTTGATTTGCTCCATTTCTGTC